AGACCTGCGGAGATAATGACGCACAAAAACAAGACAGAGCAAAACCAAGCAACAATATACAACAAAACAACAACAACAAACCAGTGACAAAGAACAAATTAAAACACACCAAGAAAGAAAAGCTTGTAGTTAGTTCAAGGACTGTTTGCTGGCCTTTAGGAGTGTTTTCCAGTCCAGTCTGTTGGGGTACCACACCCTGTCCCCAAAGTCCGGCAGGCCAGTTTTCTATAGAAATTTTAAACTAGTGGAATCAAGATCCTGAGGCACTTCTTGGAAGAGTTGTAACAGGAGATGAAACATGGCTTTACCAATATGATGCTGAAGACAAAGCACAGTCAAAGCAATGGCTGCCAAGAGGTAGCAGTGGTCCAGAGATAAGTAGCTCATTAGTTTTAACAAATATATTAACTTAAGAGGTTGCTACGATGGGAGCTGGGTGCCAAGTATATGGAATGTCTCTGCATTTTCTTCACTATTTTCACTAAATCTAAATCTGCTCCAAAATGCTAAGTTTAAAAATATCAAATGCAAAATGCATGCATGAATCCTATTTATGAAAATGGAAAAGAAATACACTAAATATTCCTTAGCCAATGTATGTCAATTATGTCAACTTTTAGTGACAATTTTGAGTCCTCTCTCTTCCCTCTCCCTTCTAGGTAAGTAAGATACAAATCTCTTGAGAAATGTCGATCATTAAACTAATTTTATGATGATAACGATGGGCACATCTCTCAGGGTATGATGAATGAATGCAGTGCCCAGGGAGAATCTACTTCACTGCACAATCCTTCAGGGGCAGCTAAACCCCCAAAATCTTTCATGCTCATGGGGAAGACAGAACTGAAAATGGTCTAGAAGCAGAGATGTGCAAGGAAGTCTATTAACACATAGCATTTCCTCTCGCCTGGTTAAAGTCAGCTCTTAGGCCTCCTCATAAGGTTCCTGTGACCTGGGGTATAATCAGTTGGTTGTAAAAGAAGAAATAATTTCTGGTAGCTGAGAGAAAAAGTGTTAGGGAAGAGGCTAATAGGGTAGGCAGTGGAGGTGCTGAGGGGTTGGTGCTCACCCAGAACAGCAGAGCAGCTAGCCAGAGGGCTAAGAGGCATTCTCATTAGCATCTCATTAGCATCTGTATCCACACAGCTTTCTATGGTCCTGGCTGCTGCCATGATGTCTCCTCACCTAGAGGGCTCAACCCTTTTTTCTTACCCACAGTCCCCAGGACGCCTGTGCACTCAGATTTCAGCATAGCTCCTCTGCAAAATTGCTTCCCTCCACTCCCTCCCACAGAGGATCCTATAAGGCAAGTAAGGTTTCACATCTAAGCCCTTCTATGTCTATTGTGGTACCAGACTCTCCAGGGAGACACCCCACCCAAGAATGGGCAGGGCCCATGCAGTTGGATGTCTCTCTGGAACAGCACCTAACAAGACCTTGCCTCTGGCACTTATTTACACTTCTAGGCTCAGCCTCAACAGCTGTGACGCTTTTTGCTCTGTTCCAAGTCTTGGCATTTCAACATAGACTGCAGATGTCCCACTATCTTATTTACAGCAAAAAGATACAGTGTAAATCAATGTAAACTAATATCAGAATGATTTGGCACCATATATCATGAACTAGAAAGACAAGTCTAACCTTTAAGCCAAGAAATGTCACTTCTGGGAATTTTTCCTAATGAATTAATCAAGGACCAAATTTTATGCATAAATGTCACATCAGTTTAAGAAAACCTTAAAACAGTCATCAGTTAGAGATGAGTTAAATTCTGTTACAATGTCTCAAAAGAGTACTATGTAACCATTAAAAAGTATGATGCTTGCATATCAATATGCAAAAGGAAAAGGCAGGAGGCAAAATTTCATGTATACAATGAAAAAATAAAATATGTATACATATGGATTAGCTTGGAATGCAATGCACTAAACTATAAATGACAGTGTTAGAGTAGGAGTGTGAGTGTTGTCTCTACTTTTCAACCTTTCTGTAACTTAAAAATAAATTATCTTCATGAGAAAGTAATGAAAGCAAGGAGTGTTTAGGTTAGGACTGGCGGGCTATCGTTAAAAGCATGGTGGCAGTGGACCAGTCTTTAGCTTGAGACAACAAGCACTGTCCAAAGTCATGGAAAAAGTCCCAAGGTGGCCCATGAACTGTTTCTGTTTACAGACGTGTACCCAGCACTGCTCTGCAGGTCACTCGCCCATCTGGAACCCAGTGCAGTCTTCTCCCATCAGAAATTGGAGAAAGGGCCTCCAAAGCTCCATGGTACCCTTTGCAGGGAAGGGCTTAGCATTATCGGGGTAAGCCCAAAGACAGGCCAGTTGTCAAGTCCCATCTCTTCCACATACACCACTTTCCTTACCGAGTGTTTGCTCCAGGAAACTGGTCAACAAAATACCATTGAGCCCCTGTTTGTGGCCACTTTTGGAACCACGCTTTTGAATTAAGGATGCACTGGGTGCTTAGGAAGTTCACAGCCAACCACATGCACAAAGACAGAAACCAAAACCCATTCCTCTAACAGGCAATCCACCAATGGCTCTAGTGCCCCATCTCTTAAAAAATAACACTTGGGGAATAATAAGGACACTGACGCCATCTTCACAGAATTGACGTCTCTTAAGAACATCACTGCAAGTAGCTGTATATGTGGTCTCAGCTACTCTTCATAAGATTCTTGAGTAATGCTACTGTATCCCATTTAAAAGCGGGAAAACTGATCTTATCAAAATGCTAAGATCTACGATGCATACTTAACAGAAAGTATATTTGGTGTCACATCTAGTCTGACTGACCCAGAATCCATGCTGATCTCGCTATGACATGTTAGTTCTGTGATGTGCCCTATGCCCAGAGTCAAGGTCACCTAATTGACTAACTACAGTACAGTGAACCCTCTCCACTTCGCGCTTCGACTTCCGCGGCTTCACTCTATCACGGTTTTTGTGTAACAGCACCCACTGCCTACACCCGCTCCTTCAGAGGAAAAAGACGGCGACCCACCTGTAGAGTACATCCCTTAAGTCATTTCATAGGCTATTGATTACAGTATTTGTAAGAACTATGTATAATAAAACTATGTGAAATATGTAATACTGTAAACTAGATGCCATAAATAATATAATAAATAATAAATGATAATTGTAACGTCCAAAATGTTTTACTGCGTTTTCCCTTTTTCGTTTAATAAATTGGGTAATACGAGTGTAATGGTGACTAAAGGGTGTTTTTTCATGTCCTCTATGCTCTAACTACGAAAATATTTGATTTATAAATAAGGAATCCTACTTCGCGGAATTTCATTTATCATGGTAGGGTCTAGAACCGATTAACCGCGATAAACGAGGGTTCACTGTAGATCAAGACACACAAAGCGACTGGCAGAGCCTGGCCCCTCGTAAGTGGAGACTGCATTTTTCCTCTTACCTTCTCATATGCACATTTAGAATATTATGATATTCTATTAATATTTGTTTCCAAAGGTTGTGTTACATCCCATATATGAGGGGGCTTCAAAAGAGTCACAGGCAAATGGAATTAAAAGCTAGTGAGATCGCCCCATGAACTTTCTGGCACCTCCTTGGACTTCACCTAGAGTTTAACAGTAACAGAAAAGCTGGGAATCAATGATTTGTACGAAGAGCTCGGACTTTGCTGGCAAATTCATATTCCTGCTCTGGATTAGACCTTACTACAAATAGTTTTCTCCAGTGGTAATTTTGTTAAGAAATAAATAAAAAATTACCATGTGATAATGCTAGCAGTGTCTGGCACCTAGTAGGTTCTCAGAAAACAGAGTCTTGCCCCACACATCCACTTTCCAATTACAAGGCATTCTATTTTACAGGGGGGAAAAGGAGGAGCAAACTACATGAGCTACTCAAGACCCCACAGCTAATAGTAAGCAGCAGAGCCGGGATTAGTCAGGAGTCTTCCTGCTACTGCATCTCAGCCTGCAGGATTATGTAATATAAGAATGACCAGTAACCAAAAGTATGTACTGACTCCATGCTGATGGCTGGGAATTCACCTTTGGCATAGTTTATTAAAAACAAAACAAACAAACAAAAACAGTGCTAAATTTCAAAGAACTTGTTTACAACAGTCTCCTATGAGCCAAAGATTCAGATGTCCATTGGCTTTGAAGAAAGGTTTAGCTAGATTCAAATCCTGGCTCCAGAACTTTAAATCATTAACTTCTCTAATTCTCAGTGGCATCATCTAAAATGCAAGCTGTTAATAAGATTGCAGATCAGGTACATGCAATGCTTGGAAAACAGTAAATGTGTAAACAGAGAAGCCTCACTATAACACCTCAAGAAATATGATTTTATATGGTTGTGTTGGGCTGAATGGATTAAACACTGGAAAAAATTCACTAGAAAGCTGATCTATCTCCTGAGATTGAGAAAACAGGAAACTTCCCTAGTCAAATCCAGCTGAGCATGCAAACTTACCTTCACTCTTGGCAACGCAAGCATCTTCAACAGTAGTATAATTTTGAATCTTACCAATAAAACTAATTAACTGGGAGTACCAGGACTGTTTGAGTTATTAAGCATTTTATTAGGTTGCCAAAGGTTTTTACCCTATATCAGGCATCCTCAAACTACGGCCCGCGGGCCACCTGCGGCCCACCGAGGACATTTATCCGGCCCGCAGGGTGTTTTTGCCCCATTTGTT